CATTTTTTATGTGATCTCCCCAATACTATCCAGCCTCAGTCAAGCTTCTGAGTTACTTAAAGCTTTCGTGTATAAGGAAAATAAAAATACGGTTTGATCAGCACCCCGGTGACTGAGTGGGTAGTGTACTCGCGTTCTTTCCAAGAGGTCCCGGGTTCTACCCCAAGTTGGGTTGATGGATTCGCATTTCTGATGAGACTCAACCAGATCGAGGCAGTTGTCCAGTGGTTCTTAGCTTTTGAGTTCACGCTTTATTCGCTTCTTACACGACGAAGTTCATCATATGATCGAACCAAATCATCCACCAATGTCATGTGATACAATAATCGTTAGGCTCTTGTAGGCATGGAAACTCTTTAGCAACTTCCCAAGGTTGAAAATATACTCAGTGCATCCACAGCTTGCTCTCTGCTCTTCAAATGTATTACTTACTATGGCTGGCTGCTTGGAACGGATAAACAGGATCCATGAATGTCTCTAATTGTCACCATTCATGCTTGGTGGTCGGCTGCAAGTTCCTTGCAAGTGTCGATTCAATTGATTTTCCATCGGTGGGTGCCGTACACCATCTGATGGTCAAGTTGGTCGACGTCAGTGTCCAACCAAGTTTTTATTTGCCTCCCTTGCCGGCGTCGCCAGCCAAGGCTAGTAAAAGTGTCGTCGGATGTGCGGAGAACATGGTCTACCTATTGTATTCGGCTGCGTGGAATGTGCGTTGTATTACGGGCAACGTGACAGCGATTTCTGAGGTCCGAGTTTGAGACTCTGTCCCGCCAGTTTACTTTCAGGATGAATTTGAGACACTAGTGATCGAAGACATCCAATCGTCGGATGTCCTCAGCTCTCAGCGGCCAAGTTTCGCAGCCGTATAGTAGGACTGGTCGAACTGCTGTGGCAAACACCCTGATCTTGGTTTTGAGACTCATTTCGTTTCGGCGCCATAGAGTGATGCGGAGCTGTAGAAACACCGTTTTAGTCATGTCGATGCACTGCTTTACATCATTTTTGGCTTGTCCATTGGGCAGGGTGGTGGATCCAAGGTACTTGAAGTCTGATGTAATTTCTATTGTCCGACCATCCAGTTCCAGGGATGTTCCGCTTGATCAGGTGGAGTGGCGAACATCTTAGTTTTGTTAGGAGTAATCTCGAGGCTGATCTCAGTTTGAGAACTGTTTGCAAGGCGGTCAGGTCCTCACATATATTGCGTAGCCTGCAAACAATAACTGTTGCCGATTGTTTTAACTCTGTTGAAATCAGGATTATGCGCCTGTGGTTAGTACAGCCGTTGCACCAGTCCTTATAATGGGGATACTAATTGACTGCAGACCATGAGAAAGAAACATACTGCGTGCTAAACCTTAGTGAACATAACTTGCAGTCTTCAACGTGTTTGAGCAGAAATGGAAGGAAGACATTGGAGCCCGGCGTTTTGGGACCTTCCAGCGCTTGAAACAAGAAACGAAGAAGAGGTGAATGCAATAAATACTGGCCATCGACTCCTCTGGAACACCGCTGCTGGCTTGCAGTCCGTGCTTGGTCCCACAAAAGCTAGAGTGCACCCTCGAACAAGGCCTACTCTCATCCTGATGACCGAATAGTGAAATATCCCATATCGCATTCAAGTATGAACTATGGACTCTTTCAGTCTAACGAATCTAGAATCTTCACACTGCAAAACATTCTACACCGTACACCCCCACAACCTCTCCCCATTTTACCCTCAACCCCTTACACCTCCATCACTATTCGGCTATTCATACGATCGTACTAACGGTACTGTCTCGGATGGCAATTCTGCCGCTGTTCTCCCTCGGCCCACCTCCAGTGACTACCATCCAAGTCTCATCGAATCCTACACCAGCTGAAACCTTTCTTCGTTACCTCTTCACACTAGCCACATTTAATGTGCGTAGTCTAATGTATATAGGACAACAGGTGCGTTCAGCTCGTACGCTGGAGACCCTAGCAATCACTTTCAGTTTGTACAACCATTAACCATGCGTTTTCATGCGTCGGTTTTGGTTGCTGTCTTTCGGCTGCCTATTTAGATGAAACAGTAGGGGAAATACAAAAAAAGTTGAAGAAGAGTCGAAAAGAAAAATGGAGAATTTTAGTACACTAAGGTTGAAAATAAATTGAGAAGATGCATGAACTCCACTGTGTACAACACTCAACCACATCATATGTGTGTTGCATCCAAGACAATGGCATTCAATACTCCAACTCCTTTATCCAAATACAGATATCTCCGAAGTATTGTTCGTGTATGGTGGGAATATTGGGTGAGCAATGACGAGGTTCATCGTCGTGTGTTGGGTGTGGATGGTCGTTCTCTGAACGAAGTAGTCGCTCTACACCGCTTCCGATAACTTGGTCACGTTTTGCGTGTACCTGTCCATCGACCACCTTTCCACTCTCTTTTCACCTGCTGGGTAAGGCTGGAAGAAGCGCCGCGGCGGTCAGACCATGATATGGCGTAGAGGTGTGGGGATGCGAGCTTCTGCGTTGGCTTCGGTAGGTTGGAGTCCAAAGGATAAGAATTGTCGCCGGCTGGAGACACTGAGAGATATGGCATAGAATAGAAGTCAGTGGCACGAATGCTATATGGTTTGCCTGTTGAAATCCCGTGCCCCATGAACAGAAACATCGGAAAGTGTGCAATGAAAGAAACAAAAAGTTGTCATTCTTGTTATTCACTATATCTGTTGGACCACCTTTTCATTTTGTTCTATCCCTCTCCGTTCTCTGTTACTTTTGCTGTTGCGTTAGCACCAAGCCTGCTCACAAGTCGCCGTTCTCGTTACGCATTACGATTCAGGCGGTGGATCTGTTGAAATGGAACATGTGTCTTAACACGTATGAAAAGGCGACTTCGGTACCCAGTCAGAGTGTGCTTTAAAGTGTTCTACCTAGTGTGCCATGTGTCGTTGTTGAATGACTTATCATTCAACGAAATGACTCCCAAAAGTAAATCGTTCAATTTCATGCTCGTAGGTCATTGCGCGCATCCCTGTAAATTCTAATCTGAAAGGGAGTTTACGGTAATGAGTACTGAATATCATATACCAAAAATAAATAGATCTGCCAATGACAGGTGGGATATGTTATTTTGTGTGGTTTTATTAAGTCGTCCTTGAATTTCTCTGACCTTATCAATTTTGGCACGGTGTTAGAAATATGAGATTCGATGAGTTTCCGTCGTCAGTATATGTCCCGGAGATTACTTGAAAATTTCCGCACGGAGCTTATACGCAACTATAAATGTCCGTAAAAGATATCCTCATGTACACGAATCTGGCCCGTCACCAAGCGAGACAATTGCCATCACCCCATGGCCTGACTGGTTGTAATTGGCTATGCAAATACTAATGAAGCTTCCTTGACAAGGAAGATTCAGAGGGTACTGTGGACATAACTTTTTACCGTATGCCCAACCTGCATCATGAATTCATCTACACAACCGGCTTATTCTCACGTAGGATCTAAATGATTTGCCTAGAAGAGACGGAGGGAGAATGTGTAACCAACATAAAGAATCAGAGGTTAAAGGTTAAGACTGTGCACACATTTATCGGTGCGATCTGGAGATCAATTGGAGAAGCGGACCAGGTGAGGTAAGCACCTCGAATTTTCAACGCAGAGTGGGGAGGAGGAGCAATGAGTGGTGGTTTGGTTTACCGGATGAGCATTAGTGATTTTGCATTTTGAAGTCTCCAACGACGTGGTTGTCCACCATGGCGCGGTAAAGTGTAAAAATAAGAGCAGCGTGTAATGGAAGGGGCCAGATAGAAATTGAAGACAGTAGTTGGAAGATGATAGTTCGAATTCGGAGGGAGGTGGCATAAACTGAAACTCTTGACTGTAGATATCAGAAGTATGTGCTTGCAAGACAGCAGTGAATGTTGAGCATAAATGCACGAAGATCTGCCTCAAAACTAGCATAAAGGAAAATAGTCATTGAATGAGTGGTTGATCCTGTCCATGAACTGGATAACTGTTTCAAACAGAACGAAATAATAAAAGGAGAGAACGGAATCAGTGTTTCGGGTCAAGTCAAAATAAGCTTTATGCTCTCGAAGGGTGAATTTTCAGAGATTTTCACGAGAATACAGTGGAAGTATAAAAGAACGCAATGGAGTGCGAAGAGGGTAAAAGAAACGACAGAACACTGCAAGAAGACGATAGTAATAGTTTAAAAAAGTAAATTAACTCTTGTTTCATTAGACCTGTAATAATTGGTGCCCGGTTCACTAAAACGCGGTCAACATAAGAGAGGGTGCTGTTTCTGTGTGTGGCGGTGTGTGCGAGAAGGAGCTCATAATGGGAGTGGGTACGAAGGTTGGACATGGATTTAAAAAGTTTGTTATGCAAGCAGCCATCTTCGTTGTTTAAGATTTTATCAGCTTTCCTTTCACATGCGTCGATATGCTTGCACACAATGAAATCCACCGGGACATTTCTGACTATACCACTTCATTGCGGACGGAGTTTTATGGATCTGGAAAGTGATATGAAATGTTTTTCTTTTATTTAAGGGTCGCGAATGTGAGTGAGGGGCCGAAGAAGGGGAGTTTCTTGGACGCTCACATTTATTGTGCAAAATGAATGAAAACCAGTAGCCCAATAAAACATATCAAAAGCGTGAACCTCACCTTTTGAACAGAATGTCGGTATCTGCTCGGATTGTGATAGTAAGCATCTACCAAAAGCACACGAGATTCCGCAAAGGTTCTACCGGAATAGTTAGTGACCATGAATGGATAGAATAGCTGTCACTTGTACCTTTTACAAAAATGGTTGCTCTCATAAGATACCACTGTTTTGAAATGAGTTCCATGTATTGCATTTGATTTATTTTTGGCTTGTGTGATTATAACCACTATGATCGCGAGTGCTTTTCCCGGACAATGACTGTCGGAAGTGTGCCTCACAACGTGATTCAGCTCAGGTGATGTTACCTTTTGCCCTCCCGTTCCCGATGCACACGTTCGTGAAACCAGTGTCCTCATCCACGTTGCGGTCGACGTTATCAGGCAGAGTTGGCGCTACTGCGTCACTTACACAAGTACCACTGTGAACCGATTGAGTTACCGCATCGTAGACGCCCGGCTCCTGGCCGACGGCTACAACGACGACCAGCATCGGAAGAACGTTCAAATAATCGCTTGTGTGGTGGTAGTGACTCCTCCACTGATGGGACATTAAAAATAGTAAGTTTCGTTTCTTTCTGAATACATCATAGTGTTTGTGTGTGTGTGTGTGTGTGTGTACTTTCGTGTTCATGGAAATAAAATTCGTGGGCAACCAAGTAGCTAAAGGCACTGCTTGTAAAAGCGAAATACAGATTGATCTCTAATTATTCAAAACGATTTAACCCGAGTATCGAGCTGACTAGAAATCTAGATAGATTCCATTCCAAAGTTTCTTTTATATATCCTTCTTAGATTAGCGGAAGTACTTATTTATTGATTCAATGTTGTGCGAGCAGTGATTGATACACTCAAGCCCACTAGTTACGTCATTCATTTGCCATACGGAGGTGGTATAATTTCTCCCCCCGCCCCCTTCCCTCCAGCATCCACTCGATGCGTTTTTGCTTGCCTGGGCAGTACGAAGGTAACGTGAAACAAATTGTATGAGTATGTGAGCATATGTGTAGACACATAATTACGTGTCTTCACGTGCTATATGTAGGCTTGGCATTATTCTCCTCATCGAATCTCTATGTATATGTGTAGTTTTGCGCGAGCTCGCGTGGGAGAAAGAGAAAAGCAATGAACATGAAGTGTCAGAATGGTTGGTTTAACTTTTCTAAGCCAAACTAGTCATCAAATTGTGGCATATGTGGGTGTCTCTGTCGATAGATTTTTGATGCTCTGCTTTCACGTGCAGCCTAATAGCATATGTGCTATGAACAAAACAGAGGAAACAAGAAGGCTTCGTCGTGACACGATTTGATGTGTTGTGCATTTGGTTGATTCAATAAACAGCACGAAATAAATTTCCCTAAGTTGACTTCCTGAGAATAACATTTGAAGAGTTGGAGGATTAGGATTTTGCAAATTTCAGTTTTCTGGCCCTCCAGAATGAAAATTCGGTTTGAGTTGACATCCTGATTGCTAATTATGCTGGTGTGTTAATCTACTCAATTGGATTGACCCCTTTTTAACATTGGTCACCATCTTCTGTTATTTTTTACGAAAACGAAAATTTCTTTTTACTGAGACTCACAGTTCCCTGCTTGGTGGCTATACTCCCCTAGAGTATCCGTCTATAAACTGCAATAAATGTGCAAAACACTCAGAATTGTGGATCGCATTTGTCGGTTGCTTTGGATGATCAAGACCGAATTGTCAATAGTACCAATAGGGTGGGTAGTGATAAGTGAGTTGCTGGTACTGCTTGTTGATTTTGTAATTTATCCGTTCGTACTACCTTTCGGTGCGTTGCACCCTCTCCGATAGGCTTTTTTGTCCACCAAGACTGACGGCCCACTAGCGCCGTGCGTAGTGTTCAGCTGAAGCAATCATGGTTTCCGAAACCTCCCAAATCACTGAATCATCAATAGCAGCAAGCGTCCGACAAGGATTACGGTGATTACTGTTTTTACTGCGATGTGAGTAGCTGCGCAGAGATTTCTGGTTGCCATGGGTCTTCCGTCGAGATGCGTCTTCCTCCGAACATTGCGAGCCGTGGAAGTTCTGTCAGCTCTTTTGTTGTGATACGGCAATTGGGCTAAACTGCAAACCCGATGTCCGACTTCTTGCTTCAAATCCCGTAAATGATCGTTTTTGTCGAATGGAGGACCCGAGGTCACAAATTTGGAACACACGGACAGATTATGAGATCGCGATCGACAACTAAAAGGTGGTGGCACGAGCTAAGAAAGGGGAACGATTAACTCTCGAAGCTCTACACTCGGTCAATTGATTAAGATGTCAGTAAACCCAGATATGTGTGCAAATATAATTCCATATGTATCTATGATTTACTCGAAAGTGCTCAATTGTAAGGATCCTTATCGTATAATAATCCCAGCATAAGAAGTCAAAGTCAAAATGCGCAGACATTTCTTTTCGATATATCGTTTCAGGCATTTACATATATAGTTCGGTTAGTCAATAGAATAACATAAGGCTTAGGCTGAAGTTGAATGAATGTCTATGTGTAAAATGTTCAGTAGACTACAAGCTATCGAGTCACAATAATCGGATAGAGAAAAGCCGGATAAAAATGTAAGACGAAAAATGTTAGTCAAGGATGAATAAAACAGATGTGAAAGTGGGCGAAAACAAAGATACAGTAAATGGGTCGTGAAGGTTCTCACTGTGTTGAGGTAATGTCTGATAGCTGGATTCTGTGAACCATTCATCATTACAGAGCACTTTCAGCTATTTACGGGCAGTAGCCATAAGTTAGAGCTTGTTTAATCTTTTCTGTTATGGCCTGCATGCTTACCCAAGACATCGACGTAGATCCGAAAATCTTCTCTCCTTTGAACCTGCTTCATAGAACGTTGTACCGAAAACTGTCTTCCGCTTTTCAGATCCGCAAGCCTACGTAATATCACGTCAGGTAGATAGGTTGTTTCATCCTTTGTTTACCAATGTGTGATATTCATCAAATGATACTGTGCCTCCATCGTTTCCCCTGGGTTGACTACAAGAAACCTAAAATACTGCGTTACGGTTCAGCTATGATAATCGAAGGGTGTTCTGATCTCCTCGAACCCACTAACTTATCGATTATTTTCACAATTTCTGATTGGTGGTGGCTTCCGTAATCACTATTCTGAAAACGACCACGGTGGTGTTCCCATGGTGAAACTGAATCGAGAAATGCGACAATGGCAATAAGATTGTTCGAAGACAGTTTGCATTCACTACTTGTGAAGGTCATACGTTAACCTAAATTCACCCGGTTTACTTTGTGTAATGGAGGTGCTTAAGTGATACTATATGATTTCAACGATAAAGATTATCGAATTCAGAGCTCATTCTCAGATAAGTGCATTTTGGTAACATTCGAATTTGTAAACTAGCGTTTTCTTATAAAATTCCGCAACTGTTATGAAAATTATGACATCTTTCGACAGCCCTCATTACGTTATTTCTATTGCAGTTGATTTGATAGAGATATCTCATTCCGTTCCGAAAATGTGGTCGAAATGGTCATTTAGATTGTTCAGTGCTTGAAGGGGCTTCTGTGGTAGTGTCCCAGAGATGGATTATGACATGAAAGTGTCGAATAAACTGGATGTGAATCTGGTCAACACTGATGTGTATATCGATCGAGCATGATCTATTGGTGGCCCAGTGCAGCCGCTTGAGGTGTAGCTTATGAATTATGAACTCGATTGCAGCATCATGCGGCGGAGGTAAGCAATGGCTCGATCGTTGATCGCACATGATTCACTGGTATCAGCGGAGGGGGACAAACACACACACGCACACGCGGCGTACGCGCACTAGCAAGATTAACAACCGATATGTATGTCATAGGAATTGAAGCGTGTGACGGAAGCCCGTCCCACAATCGTCCACCGCACTTCAACGGGAGGTAGAGAAATCGCTGCTGCATGGTGGTCATCCAGACATCGCTGGGAGGCTTGTCAGCACCGGAGAGGTCAATGCGACAGCTTGAAATGATCGCCAGACATCTTGAAATAATGGTTAGACAACTTGAAACGATTCCTTGACCTCTTGAAATGATCCGAGGACATCTTGATATGATATTGGGAAAACTTGACTTGCAAAAGGTATAGTTTGGTGATCAACAAGAGTAGTTTATTGATCGATTTTTCCACTATTTGGTGAATGGTTTAATGTGTCATCTGTCATTCTGGTCCCTATCCATGCACCTAACTGCATAAAAACCTATCATTATTGTTCTCTATGCCATTGCTCTAATCGCTATTACCACTCAATCAGTATGTGTCATTGGCTAGGATTGTTTGAAAACTGGCACAGATCAACACGTATGCCTTACCGATGACGCTGCCGTAATCATCGCCAATTTTATACTGAAATATTTGTATTCTTAATCACAACTCACCTAAGTTAGTAGACCACGCTGTGACACAGTTTCTACTATAACCCTTTATATCTTCTTCATGACAATGATTGGTCGACATTTGTGGATTTGTAGTTATTAGAACCCTCGTCATTTCTGCTCACACAGTTGCACACGTCCATTTCGGTGGAGGATACCGCGTTTGGGGCTCGAACAATCACAATTTTGCCTGGTGGTGACAACCGGCATTTGATTCAACCATCCGGTTCTCTTGTTCGGGCAATCCCGACTGCCGGAACAACTGTCACGGCTACGTCGGCCTCCGCGGACAAGGCCGAGTCATCTGTTCAACCAACGGTCGCCCAGCCTATCTCTGTGATCGGCGGTCATTCTGTATCATCCAAACCCAGTTCTACACCGACTTCTGTGAACGGGACTGGAGGGAATGGATTGCGCCGGTGCTTTGTATTGCAGCATAATGGTCATAAAGGTAATTTGAATCAACTAAACTAACTTGTCGGATTCGGTTTTGACTTGGCGGATCATTTGCGCATTCGAGTTTCGGTATTGAATCACGTTAACGGTGCATACTGTACTCTGTAGTGTGCACATATCTCCCCCCCCGCGCCCTGATTAATTCTTCCACCTCTACTTATTGCAAACAAGTCGCTTTTGAATTTTCAGTATTGGCATCAGCGATTCCATCATTCCGTAAAATTAAGTGTATTTCATCGCTGCTGATGCCTACGATCATCGTCTCAACTTTTCCAGATCGTTTCCTTTTTATGTCTAAATAGATTATCACTACCAGTCTGTTTTCCACCAACCAACCCCCACCCCATTGCTGCAGCATCAAACCCTGCCTTCTGCGTTTTCCTTTCCACAACAGAAGCTTTTCTTTGTTATCTGGGTTATATCCTACTGGTTTCGATTGAAGGTGTGTGTGTGTGTGGGGGGGGGGGTTAATAAAACACCAGTCATTGAAGGTACCTGCCCCCATGTTGAATGATGCAATCACTAAATTCAACTTCGTATCATACGTAAAGTTAACACTTCATGGAGTCGATAAACAGTCATGGTCATAAATTTCTTATTTAGATTGAACCGATTCAATGATACTGTAGAACTTTTCCCTATTGGTTATCAGTATCTTTTATTACACAGGAATTAAGACAAGTCATAGTCCGGTCACTCAAACCAGACATGACATTCTATAAGTACCGGTAACATGTTGAGTATAAGGTGATTGCCAATTTTAACCGGGGCTATTGTATCCGAAACCTTACAGGTCAATAAAATGAAGAGTACAAACAATTTTGCTTATCTTAAAGTTGTCTTATTGGTAATCTTAGTCTTTAGTGAGCTGGATGGGTTCATCATGTGTTCACAATGGCTAAACCCAGTCAAATCAAGTACTACGGAATAAGAAAATTGAAGCTAGAGTCCGCATGGTTGTTTATACTCTCCATATACGTCGTATCTCATTCCTCGAGAGATCCATGGGACGTGAATCATCTGCCCTGATCATTGCCGCCGAAGCCAAGGGACGGTTGTGCGCATGTGCCACGCGGTCATCCTGTGACGTGTTCACTCCCAATAGACCCAAGTGGCCATAGTTGCCAGTTCCGATCGATGACTGCTTTGGCATAGGGTCTGGTCACCCTGTCCGCTCTATTTTAGTCGTCCCCCGCCCCACCCCTTTAACCGTCGCTCTTCCTTTAGTTTTCCCATTCAATCACACAAGTGGGAGAGGATATTCGTAAGCAGCAGCATATGCGTTAGTTTGTTTATGTGCCAACCACGTGATCACACGTTCAGCTCAGATGTTTGCTTGGTTTTGTCCTCACACTATCATTTTTATCCCCACCTCTTCCCGGTGTGTTTGACAGAGAGAGAGAGAGACGAACGGAGGAAACGAGAATGCACCTGACTGATTTATGAACCGACAGGTGGATGTCATACCTCACCCTACTGATAATAACTGTTTCACCTTATTATGTGCACATACAACACGGATATGTAAACTGCCCCCATCCGAGTCAATCGGGTCAAGCGATGTTTGCCCAATTCAGCTATCACATCGCTGTTCGTTTGCCAAATAATCCCCGCCCCACCCCGAGAATCGGGATTAATGCGTCCACCCTATGCACCAACTTTCAGTCAGCCATATAGATAGCTACAACCTACGTTGCCAACGCATGCACTTCACAGTTGGCTGGGTTCGGACAGACTGTCAAACAACACATAAATCCACCTCTGATTGGTTTGTGGGCACGCTTGTCCGAACCCGGTTGTCCAAACGAGGCGGATGATGTCTTAGGGATTCACATTTCTAGTGTTCACCTAGCCAAGCCCTGCCTTTGTGGTGAAACTGGACAGACCACCCACAATTAAAAGTTTTCGGCCGGTGGACAGAGTGCTTTCAAAGAACATTCCGCTGGCCTAGTGTTAAAGTGCTTACGTCAACAAATAAGGTTCCCTGGACAGTGTTATACGAATCAACGGAAGAACGAGAAGTGCGATCTTGTATTCACACACTGAAAAAGGAAAAACAACTGACATTGGCGGGTCGAGCCCCCTCGTTT